CATGTCATCGAGAGGAGAACCTAGAACCAGCGAACCTTGATATCATATGGCTAAAATTCACCTCAAAGTCATCGACCAAGTTTATCTGCTGCCTCTACCGACCGCCAAGTAACACCGATTACCAAAACTTTTTCGCGACATTATCCGAAAGCTGTGATAGTATACAGTCAAACTATCCACAGGCGGAAATTGTCTTTTTAGGCGATTTCAACGTCCACAATATACCCTGGCTGAAACACCACAACAAAACAGATAACGAAGGCAGAGAAGCAGAAGCTTTTGCCATAAGTTGTGGTCTAACGCAGCTTGTCGATGAACCTACCCGTATCTCAGAAAGGGGCGAATTTGCAGCGCTTTTAGACTTGTTCCTAACCACCAATCCTGACTCGTACACAATTCAAGTAGATGCTCCACTTGGTTCGTCCGATCATAAACTTATAATAACAAAGTGCGAAATGCTCATCCCACCAAGCCTACAACCACTTCCTCGTAAAATGTGGCACTATAAATCGGCAAAATGGAATGACCTAAAACAGTATTACCTGGATTTTTCATGGCAAGAAGTTTGCTTTAAAACAGCTGATCCCACTATTTGCTGTAATGAAATAACACAAGTAATCTTATCTGGAATGGACGCATATATCCCACATACAACTAAACGTAGAGCTAATGCAAAACCTTGGTTCAACAGCCAGTGTCAAACGGCTGTACAGAAAAAACACAGAGCATATAACCTTTGGAAACGACAACAAACCGCTCAAAACCACACAGAATTTATAGAAGCCAGAAATAGTTGCAAAATTACTATTGACTCCGCTAAAGAAACATACAATCAAAGAATAAAAAACAGGTTGCTGAATTGTCCAAGTAGTTCTAGGTCTTTTTGGTCTCTTGCAAAAGCTGTTGGATCTAACTTCACCAAGTCATCCATACCACCACTTATAGATAAAAATAATCACTTAGCCACAACATCAGAGGAAAAAGCCAATATGCTTGCCCAAATGTTTTCCTCCAACTCCAACCTAACAGTGCCAAACGGAAAAACTCCACCGTTCATTGAAAGGGTTTCCCATAGTATGCCAGAGGTAACCTTTTGTCACAGAGAAATACGAAAATCCCTAAAAAAGCTGGATACAAACAAAGCAATGGGTCCGGATGGCATTCCCGCAATAGTACTCAAAAATTGCGCCAATGAACTCACCCCAACATTCGCAAAATTATTCAATTTGTCTTACAGGCAAGGAGTATATCCATCATCATGGAAGTCTGCCGCAGTACAACCCATTCCAAAGAAAGGAAAAAAGACAGATCCATTAAACTATAGACCAATTGCTCTACTTCCGGTGATATCAAAAGTAATGGAAAGAGTTGTGAACAATCACCTAACCAAGTACTTGGAAAAGTACAAAATTATCAACGATAAGCAATACGGATTTCGAAAATATAGGTCAACTGGCGATTTACTTACATACGTCACTCACTTATGGCAAAAAGGCGTTGAGTTGCGGGGTGAAACAAGAACAATTGCCTTAGATATATCTAAAGCATTCGACAAAGTTTGGCATGAAAATCTGCTCAAAAAGCTCAAAGCAATGGGATTATCGCCGAAACTTTGCACTTGGTTTGAAAGTTACCTAAAGGACAGATCCATTTATGTTGCACTGGATGGCCAGAACTCCAACTCTTACCAAATAAATGCTGGTGTGCCACAGGGAGCAATCCTTTCGCCAACTCTTTTCCTGATTTACATAAATGACCTCATAGATAAAACAGTAAATCCACTTTATTGCTTTGCAGACGATGGCAATGTAGTCTCCTCACTCATACCACCCACAGGTCTTTCCGCACGTGAATTCCATCATCTTAGACTAACTCAAATATCGCAGATAAATAACGACCTGGAGATAATAGAGGACTGGGGTAACAAAAACCTTGTACAGTTCAACGCGCAGAAAACCCAAGCAGCTCTGTTTTCAAAAAAGACCAGCACCGGTGAGCCAAACATCATGCTATCTGGAAGTGCTGTCACATTACAGAGTCAGTTGAACATCTTGGGGGTTACTGCAGAGACCAACATGTCTTGGCACAGTCACGTGGCAGATATTGCTAAAAGGGCCTCCCAAAAGCTGGGGGTGCTATTTCGTACAAGACATCTGTACACACCAAGCCAATTGCTGACACTCTACAAAGCCCAGATTCGATCAACTATGGAGTACTGCTCACATATATGGAGTGCAGCACCCAAACATACCTTAATGCTTTTGAATACCGTGCAAAAACGAGCTATCAAGCTGATCAATGACCCCGCACTTACTCGTAACTTGGATGGTCTCGAACATCGCAGATCTGTGGGCGATTTATCTCTCTTCTACAGGTACTATCACGGAAAATGCTCTGAAGAGTTGGCACGTATGATTCCACCGAGAGTAGCACCTACCAGGCGAACCCGTCAAACAGACGGTAACCATGAATTTACTGTCAAACTAGAGGCACCAAGAACCTCATTATATCAGAATTCATATCTCTGGAGAACAGCATCGCTGTGGAATAAACTCCCTGCGACAGTTTTCCCTGCAGGTTACAACCTGAACCGTTTCAAGACCAACATACACCGACATTTCCGCGCACTTGCCGCTTCTCGAGCGTGATAGGACATTTCCTTGCGAGTGCGCATATCCGTAAAAAAAAAAAAAAAAAAAAAAAAAATTCTCAAGCGAAACCCCGAAAAAGTCACTTTTTTAGGGATAAACCTCACCCTTTTTTAAAAATTCGATAATTTGCGTTATAGCCAACTTTGGAAAAATTTGAGAAATTACTTTTTTTGGGATAGTCCAAAGATCAAAAAGATGCATATAAAAATTTCCAAGATCAAAAATTGAGAACCTGGCATAGCCTCAAACTTTGCCAAAAAAACATGACTTCCTTTACTCACCCTGTATATGTGCACAAATGAAAGGAATATACCGGTCAAACCTTGTGCGTGTTCTCAAAGAGTTGGTCAAGAACCTCCCGAATACCGCAACTCGATATCTCTTTCCGTTCCGAAAATATCGAGATTTGAATTTGGATAAAATTTTCCATGTTGCAAAGCAACTGTCCACCAGTTTAGAAAAAAACTGAGTACGATACTGGATTGTGCTCAAAAAAGTATCCCAAAGCAGTTTTCACAGAAATAAAAAAAATTGATAAACAAAAAACTTATAATTTTTCGTAATAGGGGAAAATCGAAAATCGCCCTGTAATAATGATACCATTGAAGATATCGCGATACGGTTTTTGACAATCGACGTTTCTCGAAAATCAATCCCATGACATCTAAGTCAATTTTCCTCTGTCTGGAAGTATGTTTTTCCTGTCAAAACTGTTATAATGACTATTTAAACTGCAGTGGATACTTCTTCTTTTTAACTTTTATTTCACAGAGAACGAAGACAGGATTAAACAATTCTACATACTTTTGACATACATTTTTACATCTTTCAAACTACAATGAAAACACCAGACAGGTATAAGCAGATTTTAGCGTATATTTCAACAAAAACACTCCAAATTGCAGCACCATATACCTACAGTCGTGTCAGTCGGGTGTCCCACTTTTTATGCTCAAGACTCACGACTGTACCTATTGAACAAGTGATTCATGAAAGCATAGAATATTTCTGGTCTTATGTAGGTAAATTTGCTCAAGAAAGACCATGGAATCTTCAAAAATTACTCGATGAACTCTGAACCCGAGTGCGTTGCCCTTTGCCCCTACCTCTCATTAAAAAAGATGTAAAGAACTACCTTAGTACCAAAGATCGTGTGAGGTGGTCTAATTAGGGAATGAAAGTTAATTCAGCATCAAATATGATTCCAAGTTCTGCTATCTGAACAAGTAGGACCTGAGCTAACTTGCTACAAGTAATCGCACTCGGAAGATCGTTTATAAGCATAATAAACAGAACATACGGCGGGCTCAGATTAAAGCTCAAACCCTCAACTTCAACAGTGGACAAACCGATTATGACCGAACAAGTAGGTATGACTCGAACATATGTTGGTGACTTCGATAACGTCATGATCATGGATCTCTGATATATTGTCACGCTACAGAGTTTTTATAATTTACAAAAGGAAATATTTTTCTTCAAAACGGAATATTTTAAATTTCCATTCAAAGTTCAGTTTAATGACTTTTCAAAAAACTGCAAGTCGTTTCTTTTTGTAAAGTTAAACAATTTCGGTTATTAATCAATAATTATAATTGTAACTTCGATTCGTCAGCAAAGCGATAGTTCAATGATTTTTAAAACTAGAACTGATTTTGCTCACTTATCAAAGGCTTAATATTGAAGAACCGAATTAGGGCAGGGACAGTACCCTCTCAGATTTCAAGAAAGTACAAATGTGTAATGCTTAGTTATGTCATTTCAACTAATGTAAGTAACATCCACAATTTATTAATTTATTTTATATCGCAATCGGATTTAACTTCCAATTCTCGATTTTTTTAAATTCATTTTGTTTTTTTTAATTTATTTATTCATTATGCTATTTTGTTTTAAACTTTCCTTTTTCATTTCTATTAATAAATCCTGATTTATTATTGTTTTAAATTGGCCTTTTTATCCCTTTCTATCCCAGCATAAAGGTCCAATATTTGGACGACGCTGCGACCAAAATCTGGACGTAACAATATCTATAAAAAGAGGATCATTAGACATGAGTTATCTTTGTATAGGTTCAATCAACATAAACGCTCTGGGAAAACCTCACGAATGAACTAACAATATCCTGAGGGTTAGCAAAAACGGCGTTACCAGCATTAGGCTCAAAAGTTGGATGGATTGAGTTTTGAACGAATTAATTTTATGAAAACTTTTAGAGTATTAAGGAAACATGGTATGTACAGGGTGGTCCAAATTGGACACTTTTTTTATGGAAACACCCTTTATTTTTAGAGGTAGAAAAAATGTACAATCCACTGGATCCTGAGAAATTAAACAAAATATATTTTTTTAAATAACATTTATTAGAAATGCAAAATTTAGAAACATACTTACTACAGTTACATCTGAGATTACAAAAGTAAGAACATAAAACAAAACCAAAAACCCTCAATTTCTACTGCCTAAAAAGACAAACAAGAGATACTTGAACAAAATACTATAACAGCAACTTAATACAATGTGAAAAAAGTAGTTCTGATGTCAAAAAGAAATAAACCTATATTTTGTAATAATAGCAAATTTGTACCTTTTTCTGACTAAAATCTTTTGACATCTAAAACATTTAAAGTACTGCAAGGAAGGCATAACCAGCAGGAAGAAGGAAGGGCCAAGAAGCTTTCATGTTGACTCCAAGTAATCTTGAGAGAATGAACCAAATGAAGACTATAACGCTTGCTTTGAAAATCATATGGACAAAGAACAATCTGTAAAAAAATAATTTAAATTATTTAAAAAGCATAATATAATGTAAGCAATTATCATTTCAACTATTTTGTTTTCTACTTTGTTATTTTTTATTCATAACAGGTCATAAATCTTTTAATTTTCACTCGTTATTTTGTATGGATTGGGAAATAAAATCTTGTATGCACTACTCAAGTAGCCAAATAATGACGCCCCATGCAGCATTAAAGAGTTATCCTTTATCAGTGAGGCCCCCTGGTAGGTAATTCTCAGGCGAGTATGTAATAAAAAAAATTATTTACAACTTGTAACAATATCCCTTGCATTTGTGAAAAATACAAGGGAGCATGCTGCCGCTATAAAGTACAAATAGTCTTGGAAAAAAATGCTTAAAACATATTATTTTTAATTTAAAAACAAATCACTTACATGTTGTCCTTCTTCCTGGCACTTTTCAAAGTTTTTTCAGGGTCTCTACTCAAAAATACTCTTGCTCCTAGAGTTAAATCATCAAAATACACTGGCCACACTAGTGCAGAAATATCCACACTAAAATCGTCTCTTTCTTCGTTTTTCAAATAAGCTTGCAGCTCTGTAGTTTTTTTGGCAGAAAATAACCATTCAGTGAAAATGAACTTTGATAATCGTCCTAGAGACGTATTGACGTTTCTGTGAAGCTTCATCAAACTGAAAATAATTGGTTATTATAAAAATGTAATTATTTTAATTAAGTTCCGTACATTGGTCTGCCACCAGACAATTTTGTAACAGTATCCAGTAAAATAGCAGGCAAAATGTGAACGAAAAATGCCGATAGTTTGTAATAGAAAATGGAGTTGATAAACTTCAAGTTTGGATACCAAACTGCCGATGCCAATGGAAATTTATGCAAGTACATGTTGACAGATTGTTCAACCGAAACCCATTTGAATGGGTTTCGAGTACTGGAAGTGCTGTGGTAGATTTCCAGTTGCTTTGTTTGGGTGGCACCTAAAAAAAAACTGATTATGAGGGCACTGTTTCCTTGTGAATGGTTTATTTTGTTAATGTTTTAACAAAAAATTTCATTTTATAATGAATTTGTATTAGATTTCTGATAGATTGTGACCTATGTATGCAATCTACTTAGATGGTCATTGGTTTTCACCACAGAAATATCTTAAAGCAAATATATATCTCAGTTACCTGCATGATATCCGGCTGCCAGCAAATTATTAACTACAATATCTACTGGAATATAGTCGTAAATCAACTCTTTGGCTACTGGTAGTCTGCGAATAACGCCTTTAGAAGCGCCCATCAGAAAACCTTGAGGTCCGTTTTTGCTTATTGTCCAGCCCGGAATGGGTTCCTTCCATGCTCCAACAACTATCACAATACAAAAATTGATTAGTACAATTTTAAAACAAATTTAAATCGTTCTTACTCATTGATGGTCTCACAATGGCGCAAGGAAACAAGGCTTCGCATTTTTTAATTTCATGTTCTGCCATATGTTTGGTAATTGTGTAAGGATTTGGGTGGTCTCCTAGAATTTCAGGGGTTTGTATTTCTAATTCTTCGAGGCTCAGTTTGTTGACAATTTTAATCAATTCTTCTGGGTCTTTTGGTAAAGGATATAAAATTTCATCGGCTTCCAATCTGTAAGAATTTACATAGGCGCTGCTTACGTGAACCAGTACCTTCAAGTTGGAGCATTGTTTGGCTAATTCAGTTACTCTTCTTGTACCTGAATTGTTTAGTTATATAGTTTTTTTGGTAATAGTAACATGTCTTTTACCTAGTAAGTTGATATCGACAGTTGCCTTAAGAGTGTCTCCAAAATCTAATGTAGCCGCACTATGGAAAATTACATTAATTTTTTGCTGTAAAAGTTCCCTATCACTAGGTGATAGGCCTAAATTTTCCTGGCCCACATCTCCAGCGATTGCTTTAACCTTTTCAAAGATCTGCAATAAAAATTTTGTGAATTTGAGAATTGAATATTGGAAAATATAAGTAAGAATAGTTTTTAGTGAATCTGGAGTATCCGAGGAGGGTCCTCCAAAGTCAAAAAATGTACAAGGAAGTCACAATAAAAATCAGTCTTTTGAGCCAAGTAATAAAACAAGTCAAAATTATGGTAAATTATGTCGTCGTTGTGGTGTGAGGAAGCATGATCCAGAGAAGTGTCCCTCAAAAGACTGGGAATGCTTCAAGTGCAAAAGAAAAGGCCATACTAGTTGTGTGTGCAGAATAAGTAATGTTCATGTCCTAAATGAGGATTATGGTGAATCGTCAAATGCAAATGATGATTTAGTGCTTGGGTATTTATCATCGATTCAAAGCAATGATAAAGAAAAACCAGTCCAGGGGTGCGATTTTCGAGACCATTCGAGTACATTTCGTACACGAAATTTGACTGCTCCCCATTTAATTTACATTGCTGTCAGTTGAAATTGGATATCGAAGGTAAACTGATAAACTTTTATATCGATAGCGGAGCTTGTCGAACCGTTATTCATATGAAAGATTATCAAAAATACTTGTACAAACCTAAGTCTTTATAATGTAAAGTACAATCTCAGAGTTTTGACGTGATGGTGTAAAAATTGTTGGCGAAACTGATGTTTTTGTCAGAAAAAACAATCAAATAGTGAATTTGCCTTTAGTAGTAATTGATAGCAATCATAGATTTACACCATTACTTGGACGAAATTGGTTAAATGTACTAAACCCAAATTGGCGTCAAAAATTATTAACTGAAAATGTCTGTAATTCTAAATCTGTGTCAGAGTCATGTCAGTCCGTTGATGCTTGTCAGCTGGAGCTGAATAAAACTGGAAATCCAAAGCCTAAAAAAGTGGTGGTCGAAGTCAGTAATGAGTCTAAATTATTGTCCAAAAATGTTTCAAATAATGTCAATGAGTCAGAGTTTTTGAAAGTCGAGTCAAAAATCCAACATTTAGTTTCAAGCATTAAAAATTATTTTCACGGTGTGTTTGATGATAATACAGAGTCTTCTATCAAAAATTTTAAAGAGGAGCTCAACCAGTATTCCATAGAGCATATAATATGCCATACTCTTTAAAAAATAGAGTCTGAAATTCAAAAAATGTGTGTATACTAAAAAAAATAAGTTTTAGTAATTGGGAAAGTCCGATCATAGTTGTCCCGAAGAAAAATTCTTCTGATATCAGAATTTGTGTCAATTTCAAAAAAACCTTGAACCCAGCCCTCGATGCTGATCATTGTGTTTTACCACGTCCAGAAGACATTTTTGCTTGTTTGTCTGGAAATAAGTATTTTTTTGTGATCGATTTGAAAGAAGCTTGCGTACACAAGAATGACTTATCTTATGGAATAAATTCAGCTCAATCTTTCAAACGATCATGGATAGTGTTCTTGCAGGTTCAAAAAACACCAAATTTAATGTTATTTGGATGACATACTGGTCTACGGTTCTACTTTGCAAGAATGCTATGAAAACATCATTGATGTCTTCAAGAAACTCGATCAATATAATGTCAAGGTCAATCAGTCAAAGTGTAAATTTTTTAAATCTAGTGTTGAGTTTTTGGGGCATTCAGTAGATTTTTATGGTGTTCATCCAACAGAAGAGAAAGCCAAGGCTTTGAAATCAGCTCGTTCTCGGCACAAGGTCACTGAGCTTAAATCTTACCTTGGACTTTTAAACTACTACATCAAGTTTGTACCTATCTATGCTTTCATCAAAATTGAAACCCCTGTAGGATCTATGCAAGCCAGACATCGATTTTTTTAATAACTGGTCTCAAGAGTGTGAAGATATATTTCAAATTAGCAAAGATTTTCTAAGATCTGACAATATTTTAAAACATCTGTGCATGACCCCAAATTACCTATTTATGTCACCTGTGATTCAAGCGGTTACGGAGTTGGGGTTGTAAAGTCCATTCCAAAATAATTCGTTGACTCTTCAAGTATCAATAAAATGTTGATGATACCCTCAACCACAAACTTCGACTACCTGTGAGCAGGTCCGGGTTGATTTTATTTATTATACCTGCCTAGGTGAGATGTACATGTAAATGTGGGTGAATGTTTTAGTTAAATTATTTAGTCTTTGTGCAGAACTAGACCTGTTATATTGACAAAAAAAATGTGGCGTCCATGGGCAAATGATGGTAGTATTGCAACCAAAAGTGGTATTTCAAAAAAAAAACATTTATCGCTAGATGCCAAGGAAATTGTGAGGAACGTTTATTTAACCCTTCTGCAGAGAGGCTATAATCATAATCAAAGTGTGAGTGAATCATCCGTTTTAACCAAAACTCCATTATCTACGGTTAAAGATATCGTAGCCAAACGCATCCAGCCAAGGAAGCAACGGTGTGACAGCGGCAAGTCAAGAAAGGTTGAAGAAGCGGATAAAGAGTTGATTCGTAGGAAAATTTATGATTTGTACAGTAAACAAATAATACCTACAATAGATTCTCTAAAAAAGGTACTTATAGAAGACGAAACTGATATATTATGTTTATTTTTATTTATTAGGTTTGGTTGAATTGTGTATTGTATTATATTGTATTAGATATTAAGTTTTGGTAATTATTAAGATAGTATAAGATTATAACATAAATAAATAATATTATGAAACGCCTTTTTCGTTTTCATTATAATGGGCACAAAATCCGTACCTGTAAACCTTTGAGTGGGTATTAACGAACACGGTACCTACATAAAAGAACCTGGTACCTACACAATAGAGGCTAATAGCTATCTAATTTATGGTAGGGTTTTATAGCCGTGAAGTCAACGAAATATTTTGGAATGGACTTTACTGAGTCACATTGTTGAGGTAGAGGAACGACCTGTCATGTTTGCTTCAAGTACTCTCACTCCCACAGAGCAAAAATACAGCAACTTAGAGCGCGAAGCATTTGCTTTGATCTTCGCAATTAAGAAATTCCACAAATATTTATATTGGCGTAAATTTACACTTATTTCTGACCATCAACCACTTCAATTCATTTTTGCAAAGAACAAAAATATACCGACATCAGCTGCTTCAAGAGTCACCCGATGGGCAATTACTCTATCTGGCTATCAATATATATTTTATCATCGATAAAGTTGGCGCCAAGTGAAGGTGACGATCCTAATGCTGTGAGTAAAAACGCAGAAAATAGTGAGTTAAATAGTGAAATAAATAGTGGTGAAGTGTTCAAATGCTGTGGAAAAAGGGCAACTACTCTAGTGTGTAAAGTTTGCCTAGCAGTTTTCCACATAAGTTGTGCAAATCGAACAAATAACAAAATAAAGAGGCTAGAATTAGAATTAAAAAATGCCTGTGTGTGTGTGGAATGCGAAGATAGAACACCAATATTATCAACAACTGTAAACCCAGAGGAGATATTACAATTAAAGCATCAACTTGATTTTTTAAAGAATGAAATTAGCTTTAAAAATCGCTTAATAACTGAACTAGAGGATAAAAATAGCATATTAAAGGAAAGCAATCATATTCTAAAAGATAACAATGGTTTACTGGTAGAAAAAATTCAAAGAATGCAGTCTGACTTTAACGTAAATAAACACCAAAATCGTAAACAACCTTTGGCCGAAAAACATGGAGTGCCAATATCAACAATGCAACCACAGCTACAAATTCAAAGGTCGAACCAACCAAGCCAAAACGCGGAAGCCAGTGGCGCAGCAAATCAAAATGCAGCTTTTAATCAAAAGGCTGGGCCGGAACAACCTGAAAAGTATAAAAATAGTTACTCCAACACTGTCAGAAAACAATCTGAAGGCCGGAACCTACACCTACACTTAAACATACCAACTCCAAGCACTCAAAATGAATCGAAATCGAAAGGCGACGCTTCATCAGCTGTTTCTGATGTCAGCGATAAAACAGAACAGGATGGTTTCATCTATCCTAGAAGGCAACGGCGTTTCAAAAAAAGGCTTGGAAAGGCTCAGCCACCCGCAGAGGGAAATTTTGCTGGAGGGGATCGGAAGGTATGGCTCTATATATATAGAGTTCGAAGAGAATGTGGTGAGAATGATATCATAAAATTCATTAAAAACAAACCAGGTTTTGAACGTCTACCAATCACAGCAAGGGAATTACCAACAGAGGAAAATAAGCTGAAATGTTTTGTTGTCACAGGACCTCTGCAGCAGAAGGACAGTATGTACAATCCAGACTTTTGGCCCAGATACGTGGGAGTCAAGAGGTTTGATTTCAGGAAACATAAGGGTTTTCTAGACTCTTGTGCTGGTGATTTTTTAGCCTAGGTCTAAATGAAATCGATATTCCTAATAATATTTCAGTTTTGGAATCCTTAGTTATTGACGTACACCTAAATGTTCAATGTATAAGGAATAAGTTAGTAAATTTGGAATCTTCAGATTTAAACGCAGATATTTTTTGTTTTAGCGAACACTGGTTACTTGATCATGAAGCAATAGTCATGAAAATTATAAATTATAATGTTGTTTCCTATTACTGTCGAAAAGAGCATTCTCATGGAGGGGTAGGGATTGCTATTAAACAATCCTTAGCACACACTTTCAAAGGCAGAGATGACATAAATAGTCTATCGCAGGAAATGCATTGTGAGGTATGTGCAGTCCAATCAAATAAACTAAAACTTATTGTAATAACATACTACAGACCTCCATCTGGAAATTTTGAAATTTTTTTAAATATTTTCGAACAAATTGTGCAAAAAATAAGATCAACAAGATATGATATTCTAATAAATGGAGACTTCAATGTTAACTTTCTGTCGCATGATAGTAAAGCAGTTTCTCTTTTGGATCTAATAAATACATTTGGGTTTTGTAAGGTTATCTCTACACCAACGCGCGGAGGTTCATAGACAATTTGTTAATTTTATAGTCTCTAGGGCATATACAAGGGATTTGAACATATCAGACCACCTCGCTCTTTGTGCAGAAATAACTTTAAAGCATTCATTAAAAGATACAGAACAGGTTCATAAAAGCCGACCAATCACAGAGCAGGGCATTTTCAATCTGTATGGGTTAGTTGATTCCATGGATTGGGATTTTGTAAACTCGGGATTAATGTCAACTGATGACAAATTCTCTCTTTTTGTCAACCTTCTCAAAAATAATATTGAATTAGCTTTTCCGGAAATTGAAATCACTCATAATTAAAAATACATTAAATGGTATAATGATAGTCTGCGCGAACAGAGAGAACTATTGCAAATTGTTTCAGAAGCAGCCAAACAGAGGAATTGTCCTATTATGGTACAATTAAAACAGTCTCTAAAAAGAAATAACCAAATTTCCATACGAGAAGCCAAAAAAAGGGCTCATTTTTCCTATCTACAAAAGCATAATTTCAATTCGAAAACGATATGGGAGTTGGTGAGAGAAAACTCTAATATCACAAAACAAAAATGCATTCAAAATAGCAACAATTTCTCTCCAAATGACTATAATCTTTATTTTGCTAATATAGCAGCCCAAATTGTTAGTAACTTACCTACAGCTATAAATACTCCACAATATTATGTAAACAATTTTATCAAAAAAATTGGTATATCCAACACAGTTTTCAATTTCACTCCCATATCAATTAATGAAGTTAGAGACATAGTAAAACAATTAAAAAACAAAAAAAGCAAGGATATTTATGGAATGAACTCTAAAATAATAAAATCACTTGTTAATATTATTATCTATCCTCTTACGAAGCTGTTAAATTTGTGTATAAGAGATGCAGTCTTTCCATCAGTTCTAAAAATCTCCAGGGTAGTGCCAATATATAAAAAAGGTGAAATGGAAGATTTGAGTAATTACCGTCCTATATCAATTGTCCCAGTTTTCTCCAAGATTTTCGAAAAGGCACTCAAAAATAGAATAACAAATTATTTTGAGAGTCAGAATTTATTTAGTTCTAAGCAGTTTGGCTTCAGGAGTGGGAAGTCTACTACTAGTGCTATCAATTTGTTCATAGAAAGGGTTAATGAGGGGATTGAAAATGGGGAATATAGTGGGGCTCTGTTCTGTGATTTAAGCAAAGCCTTCGACTGTGTCTCCTCTGATCTCCTTCTGATAAAATTGCTACAATACAGATTTGCACCTGAAAGTATAGGCTTATTAGAGTCGTATCTTACAGGAAGGTCGCAAGTAGTAAGCGTAGCGGATAAAAGCTCATCCTCTATCAAACTAGAATATGGTGTTCCTCAAGGGTCAGTGCTGGGATCACTGCTCTTCCTGATCTACATAAATGATTTGGAGGGGTGTGATCCCAGTTCTGACCTGATATTGTTCGCTGATGATACGACTCTGATTAGAAGGGCCAGGAATTTTGAAACACTCAGATGGAGTCTAGAGGAGACACAGTTGAGGGTTACTGATTGGTTCTCAGCGAATAAATTGAGTATGAATGAATCAAAAAATAGCACCCTAGTAATATCCACGAGGGAATTTGAATTGCTACATAATGAGCCAGTTACGTTCCTGGGGGTGAGTATTGACGCAAAGTTGACATGGATTCCACATGTCAATAACATATGTGCCAAAGTGGCGTCAGGAGTCTATGCACTCAGAACAATGATGGAGAGTGTTTCCGAGCAAGCAGCACGTGCCATCTTTTTTGCTTGTGTCCAGTCAAAAATATCATATGGAATTCTGGTCTGGGGACATGCAGCAGAAGCGCAAAGAGTCTTTGCACTTCAGAGGAGGGCGATTCGAATATTGTGTCATAGAACTTATCGAGCGGAGTGTAGGAATGACTTTGTGAAATCAAAGGTATTAACAGTGCCTTCCTTATATGTCTATCATTGTCTGATTCATGTTAGGTGTAATGTCAATGATTACCAGACCCATGAGGACATACACCAACATCTCACCAGGAATAGGGACAACCTCTATACAAACTTTCATAGAATTCATAAAATAAAAACGGGAATTTCCTTCTATGGCCCCAAATTCTATAATGTGTTACCAACCTCCATTAGAATGCTAAATTTGAATTGTTTCAAAAATAAAATTAAAAATTATTTAATTAAGAAAGCTTTTTTTAGTATAGAGGAATATACCACCAATAATTTTAATGATTTAGAGGATTGTTAGTTAGTAATATTGTTCGTAAAGGTTCCTGAAAATTACTACTACTATATATTTGACTTGTGTAAACTTTGTGAAGTAATGCACCAATAAATGATTTGATTTGATATATTATTTATAAAAAAGGAAAATCTATAAGCAATGCTGATGGTTTGTCACGTTTACCTTTGTCTGGTCAAACTGAGATTTCGGATTTCATTTATTCTTTTAATTTGGTCAACGAAATTCCTTTAAATGTTGATGACATTAGAAAAGCTTAACAAAAAGATCCACTATTTCTGAAATTAAACGACTTCATTTTATCAGGATGGCCAAGTACTGTTGAAGCCAGTGTTGAAGATGAAAAATTAAAATCATTCTTCAATCACAGAAATTATTTATCTATAGAACAAAATTGTATTATATTTGGCAATAGAGTTGTTATTGCAGCTGTATTAAGACCTGAAATCTTTAAACTCTTGATGGGCTGTACACAGAAACATGACCAACATTCTGGTATTTTTCGTACCAAAATGTTGATTCGATCCTACTGCTGGTGGCCAAATATCAATGGCTATGTTCACCAGAACCAAAACACATTGTGAACAATTTACAAATACCAACAGAATATGTTGAGTAAACTCTTGGTTCTGCTGAACGATTGAACTTTTCAATGATAGAACGTCACCCTCTGAATGACAGGTCACCACACAAAACACAGTGTTGAAAATTATAAACACTCTGAAATTATGCTTGCAAAAATGGCGACCGTTTGCAAAACATGTTTGGTTTCAACACAAATTCAACGTAGCGTTCAGCAGAACAATCGCAAACCGTTTACCAACGTTTGTATCTGGTGGACGCGGCCAATAATGATGTAGAAAAATGTATTGCTTCATGTGAAATTTGTCAAAAATTCCAAAATTTTACCAATAGTAGTCTCTCTAGCTGGAGACCTTGGGAGAATAAAAGAAGTAGAGGAAGGCCCCAGACGAGGTATGCTGATGACCTGAAGAAGTACACTGGAACCAGGTGGATGAACATGGCAACAGACAGAGAAGAATGGAGAAGACTGGAGGAGGCCTACGTCCAAAGATGGACTGAAGAAGGCTGAATAGATAGATAGATAGTCCTCTTTTATCTTGACCAGAAGCACCTCATAATTTTTATAGAATATTTTTAGATTTTTTTAAGAAATTCAATTATACATTTTTACTTGTTTACGACCAAAAATCGAAATGGCTTGAAGTGAAATTAATGGATCAGAGCACCGTTGCTTCGGAAACTATCTCAAAATTGAAACAGATTTTTTTCTATTTTTAGTCTGCCTGTAGAGTTACGTCTCTGATAATGGTCCACCCTATAACTCAGTCGAATTTGTTTCTTTTTGTCAAGCAAACAGGATAATCCCAATTAAATCTCTTCCGTGGCATCTGCCCAGAAATGGTTTAAAAAAGATCTAAGAAAAGCGTTGTTCTCAGAAGGAGAGAATATCACAAAACAAAAAATTTTATTAAACTTATCAAGTTTCTTGTTTTCTTATCGAAATACACCAACCACAAGTAATGGTATTTCACCAGCTGAATGCATGCTGAAACTAAGACCAAGAACTTGACTTGCTAAAACCTTCTGGTCATAGTAGGCATGTTAAGGGTAGTTCTGATAATATTTCTAGAGTAAAGAAATTGTATAAACTTAACGAACCAGTTTATGAGAAAAATAAACAAACCAAGCTTTGGCAGAAAGGCAAAATTGTAAAGGTTTTAAGTTTTTGTACATATTTGGTACAAGTTGACATGCTCATGAAATTTGTTCATGCAGATTCTTTGCGTTTTGAGCTTGAGTAATTCAACGTATAATAATGATGTTAATGATGTAAGTGAAAGTGTTATTCCCAATCATGTTTATTGTGGGGCACAGGCTAATGTTCCTCACACCAATGTTTTACCTGAAGTTTTACCCCAATCAGCGCCATCACAGTTACCTCAAATTATTAAACCATCAAGTGCTTCTGAGATCGAGTTCAGTCCTACAAGTCTCTCACAAGCAACAGGAAATCCTGAAGAATTTCCACAAATGATTTCTAAAAGTGTAACTCCTCGTGTAACTCCAACAAAAGTCTCCCGCTAAGGTAGAGTTATAAAACCCACTTATAAGCTAAACCTTTAAGGGCCAAATTATGGACTGACTGGTAAGTGTCTGGTTGTTACCTAGCAGGTACTTTCTATGCACTTGAGAATAGAAAGTACCTGCTAGGTAACAACCAGACACTTACCAGTTGGTCCATAATTTGGCCCTAAGAAAGGGAGAATTGTTGTGAGTGTAGCTTTAGTGATAAGGGATGTCAAGGAATGACAGGGATCTCACGGATCTCACAGGGATAGTCTATCTTCCACCTTCCACGGGTTTCGAGTAACCACATTGTATCATTGATTTAAATTTTGCATTCTTATTAAAAGAGTTAATCAAAATCGTTTTGTTATATTTAAATACATAACATTATGAATGAAAAACTAGGCAGACACAGATTTAACATAACAGAATCTCTTGCATTTCTATGATAATAGAATAGGTATAATCTTCAGTTTAAATTAAAAAAAAATATATATTTTTACCTGATCTGCAGATTTTTCCTTCAACAATCTCTGGAAAATAGCATTTTGCTTGATCTCCTCTAACCGTTCGGATATTTCTTTGCCCCTTTTCGGTCTCATCAGCAAATAAATTTCACCATGTTGAGGTATACTCCTGAGGATTTTTTCCAACAGACATATCCCCAGAAACCCAGTGGCCCCTGTTATGAAAATATTTTTTCCGGCGTAGAATTCTCGTAAACTAACCATGTTTCTTCTTGCACAGTCTAGACTCTGGAATATAAGATATTTCGATTTTAACGAACAAGTTTTTGTTATTTTTTATTTTACGTTTCGTTTAAATCCCAATTCCCAAATAACAAAATAATTAGATTGAACTCACTGTAGAGTAAACAAACAAACCCAAATATACAAACAAGGAAAGGGGCACTTTTCGAAATTCACCGATAAAATAACTGGTTAAGCAAATCGGTTATCGTCGGTTTGAAATGTCAGTTCCTGGGTGCGTTTTTGCGAAAGATCGATGAGGAGGGGAATAGGGAATCAATCAGAGGTGCTTTCCAGTGATCCCTTTGAGTTACTCCTGAGCAGCTCAGGAGTGCTCCACAATTGCTTTGCGCGTTCCAGTGCTTAGAGTGTCGTACACTTGAACTACTCATTTCTGTTATCCCCTGCCCCCTCGTGCACCATCCCTTTCGTCTGTGTTTCATGCTCCTGAAATCCGAAATGGTGGGGGTTAAGACGAGAGCGTTCCAGTGCTGCTTATGTCGAACAGTTCAAGAGCGTCACACTTCAGGAGCATGATACTCTAACAATTTAGGCACTGGAAAGCGGCTCAGGGATGCTATTTCTAGTACAATTGTACTAGATCTAGCACAAATTCTTTAGTTCTTTTCACGTGGCTCCGGTTTAACTAACCGGGTTACAAAACGAGGTGGGTTCGGCTTGCTCACTCCGTACACTCCGAGTGACTCCATTCGCACTCCAGCCGTTCGGGTTAAGGTTCGGGTATTGCTTTTTACCGTATTAGGGGTGACTTCATTAGCTCTGTTCACTCCACTCCAACTCCGCGCTGAATAGCCGAACCCAGCTTAAGGTAGAGAAATGACATACCGTTTTCTATCCCGGTTACAAAGTGACGTGAAGGATACCTACCACTCAAATTTGAGCGGTATGTTGCCGTTTGTTAAACCGGAGCCACGTCAAAAGGGTCTGCATCTGTCTTACATGGCTTCATTTTTGTGGCAGATATGGCAATGTGTGCACATTCCATTTTTTAGCTATAGTTCATTGCAGATGCCACAAGGGGGAATGTTGTTTTTTTCTGTTGCTCGCTGACATATGAAGTTTTCGAAAGTTTTGTCATATTTCCCTTTACAGGTTTCATCAATTGGAATACGTGTTGGAAGCAATTTTCGCCATTTAACATAATGAGTGCGACAAAAACAGGTATCTTTTCCGCAGCAGCCGCACTAGTCCTCACGTTCGCCATATGTGTTCGCATTCCAGTTTTTGGTTATAGTTCATTGAGCCACCCACAGCTGACAGGTTGACGCGTAGGTACAGCTCGGGTTGCTCGGGAGCTCAACGCTTTGAGTAGCTCCGAGCGTCACACTCCCATACTGGAAAGCGGCTGATTTATCCCCAATTAGCAGAGCCTACATTTGTATTCAAATTTCAAAACTTGACGCGCTTTCAGCTAGTACACAATGTCGCCAATCTAGTACAATTATTCCTTACTTTCCGGTATAATTTTTTTAATGCTGATCAATGAACTATAACCAAAAACTGGAATGCTAACACATAAGGACGAACGTGAAGCCTAGTGCGGCTGCTGCGGAGGGGATACCTGTTTTTGTCGCACTCATTATGTTTAATGGCGAAAATTGCTTCCAACACGTATTCCAATTGATGAAACCTGTGAAGGGAAATATGACAAAACTTTCGAAAACGTCATATGACAGCGAGCAACAGAAAAAAACAACATTCCCCTTTGTGGCATCTGTCTTTCAACTCTTTCATGGTTACATTTTTTTGGCAGATATGGCAATGTGTGCGCATTCCAGTTTTTTCACTGTACAGTTTTTAGCTATAGTTCATTCGTGCTGATAGCATCCCTGATGTCAATTGTGAAAAACTTCATTTGTAAAACCGTTGATTGTTATTAGGCCGATTTCACATTTTCCAAAACCTATTTAAATTATTGTATTTGTGTTAGTCAATCATCGGCCCGAATTTATAGTCGTTCCTGTGCTCGTTCCTGTGTCTTCCTTGGAGGTCGTGAATGTAGAATGTACAATTTCTTCTATTTGACAATAGGGCACTTGCATCAATTTTTTTTATTGCTAATTTCGTTAGTCCATAAAAAATAAGTCAACACGTGTTTTTTATTTTTCTTCTTAGTCAAAAATTGACGGAGATACAACGCTATGGAATATGCCTATGACGTCACTTATCATATAAATTAGTGACGTTGCACATGCTCAGTATATCTATATATACAAAACTTAATATTTGTATAACTTCCGGAATAATCATATTTGGGCAAAATTTAAAAAAAAGTAACGATTTTTTTTCGATTTCCTACAGTTTGCAATAAACAATAATCAATTTAATTTTCCATGCAAGTACCCTATTATTATACACTACTACAGGATTACTCATTGGCCTGGATTTTTGGAATCAAGGCCATAACGTGTTGCACCATTGTGACGTCATCAACGGTGTCGTTAGCTGTTTGCGCCAGCGGTTGTAGTGAAGAATATACATTTTTATGATGAAAAATATTATTTAATTTTGATTAACATAAGCCGTGTTCGGCATTGTCATCTTCTCCGTCGATTTGCTCCGAAATTTTGACAGACACGTGATATGTGAATTGAAACTGTCTGATCCAGTCACGTGCTTGTCAAAATTTTGAAGCAAATCGACCAACGAAAAATATGACAATGCCGGACACGGCTATGAAAATTTAAAATTCGCTTAGGGCCGGTTTCTCAATAGCGAGTCACCTCCGGGTTGGTTTTAGCTCCAGGGTAAGCGTGTCCAGTTGGTATGTTCACCCCGGCGGAGTTATGCTTAACCCTGGGGTGACTCGCTATTGAGAAACCGGCCCTTAGATTGAGATTGTTTGAAATTGAATTTCGATGAAAATTAGCTAAAAAATTTAGCGCAATCATAACCTGACCTGTGGTACCCAAGCACCCGACCTCAAGGCAAGAAACGACACGCTGTCTACGTCATCACTGGTAGTTTGGCGTGGTGGGGGGCTTGAGATTTGATCTTCACAGACCTCCTTATGAGGATAGGGTATCCTGTAGAGGAAACCTCAAGTAACGACTATAGATTCGGCCCTCAATAACACCTGTATACTTTTTTTCCAACAAAAAACGCCTATTTTTGAAAATAAAACGATTTATATAAAAATCAAATTTTCAAACTGCTGGGAAAACGCAGAAAAATGCGAGGCTGAATCAAATCAAATATAGCTTTATTGTTCAAAGAATACATAATAATCGTCATGGTCAAAGCTGGGACAAGAAAGTTTATTAGGAAAAGAAACGACAGTTAAAATCTAAACATAAAATAAGGTGATGTACAGGGTGTCCGAATTTGGATGGTTTTAATAGGAAACGTCAATTTCTGAGCGAGGTACAAAAAAATGAACCTCCCACTCCAAGGCTCATATCTCTTGAAATTTTGATTGGTGAAAACCGCATCTTGATATCTTCAACCGTTTAGCCGCTAGAGGGTGATTCTCGATTTTGAGCAATACTGTGAAATTTTCATAACTTTTTTGTTTATCAAAATAACTGATTTCCGTAAAAACTTTCTAGAAGCACTTTTTCAAGCAGAATTTAGTGACGCTTTCAGTTTTTTTCTATTGGGCCTCGATTTGAATTTTTTCGAAAAAAAAATCTATGGGGATATAAATAAATAAGCCTTCCAATTTTTTTTTTTTAATTTTCAAAGCGACCTAACTCGAAAACGAAAAGCTCGGGAGAAAACTTCGAATATAAAACTTATAGATCTTGTCGAGTAGGTACTACAAAAAAGCCTATGAAAAGTATCCCGCCACGGGACACCGTTTTCGAGAAAATCGACCTGGAAAATTTTAACCAAATTACAAAGAATTTCAACTTTGACAGCTGATATCTCAAAGACGAAAACGGGCTGGAATCTCAAAAAAAAAAATTTTTATAGGTAATTTCATTCTCTTTCAAAAGAGATACAACTCGAAACGATCGGTTCAGAAATAACGGAGCTATAAGCGAAAAAGTAACGTCGTGTCACATCGCCGAAATTTTTATCAGGCCAAAATCGAAATATCCTTTTTTAATTTTTTCCCGGCCTTAAAATGCGTCATAGCAAGCAGGGTCCCATTATAAGCTTTTCAACGTTTTTTTTGCTCCTCTATCCGATAGTTTTTTTCTTTGGAAATTCGGAAAAAAAATTCAAAATCGAGAAAGATGGGAAGGCTAACTTTTTTCCAGTACCTACATCGGAGAGAACTGAAACTCGGAATATCCGCTGACCAATAGAATTATAGACTTGGCCCCGTGATTAATCAGATTCACAGATTTTTGTCGTGGAGGCGCGGGATTGATTGAAATAATGTTGTCAGATTTTTCTAAATTAGGTACATTGAAATATCGAAATTTGGAAAGTGTAATTTGTGAATTATTATTTTAATTAGGAATCAGGAATAAAAAAACTGAGATTTTCATAAACAAAAAAGTTATGAAGATTTCACATTATTCCTTGAAATCGAGAATCGCCCTAGCGGCTAAACGGTTAAAAATAGAAAATACGGTTTGCAGTGTTTGCACCAACCAAAATTTCATGAAATTTGAGCCTCGGAGTGGGGGGTTAATTTTTTGTACACTCCCTTTTTTTTTAAAGATACCCAATTCCCTAAGTCAAAAATTTAGTAACTATGTTGGCAACACAAGCCTTTTCTACATAAAAAATTTGAAGGCATTGACAATTTTACATTGTATTGCCAACACATTTTGACTTTTATCTTTAAAAAAAAACACAGACTTTATCTCGCTCAGAAATTGACGTTTCCTATGAAAACCATCCAAATTCGGACATCCTGTACATGAGACGTTGCTTACAAAAAAGGTACCTATGCAGAACAACAGTTCCAGGAAACAAATGGTGGATCTGAAAAGTCCTAAATCATACTGAGGCACTGCATAAAAAAGGCGCTTAGGATGAGCTAAAGGACTAACTATATCCCTGCTAAGCAGCTTTTACAAAGTTCTTAA